GTCGCGTGATGCGCATTGTTTGCCGGAACGCTCTCTACATCTCCGAATTCTTCATCGGATTCAAAGATAACCCCAACATTCTGTGCCCGTGCGACATACCTGCGCAACTTGTTAGCGTGTACCCACCTGTCACCCCTCTCCGGACAGTCAACGATGTAACTGTCCGCGCGTTTTCGCTCCTTGATCACTGCGGGCCCCGACCATTTCGGCTGGAGTTTACCGGAAACCCCGTCTCGAGAACAAGCACCCTCTCGCCCACCGTGAACTCTTTCGGGCGTGCCCTCAAATTGTACCAGTGGGCATATGCCTGTTGTTTCGCCTTAGCATGCTCGTCAACAACGCGGGCTGAGTCTACCATTCTTTCTCTCAAATCTTTCAGGTACTTGGCCGCTGGCCTGTTTAGTCCTAAAGGCGGCGTCCATTGCCCCGTCCATGTTCTTTTCAGTATAGACAGCGGGCCCTGAGGCTCTCTACCATACATCAATTCGAATGGGGACCTCCCCGTGACCTCACTCGGGACCTCCCGATACGCCCAAAGAAGGCACGGCACGTACTGGTCCCAACACCCTCCCCCCTCACTCACCACGTGGCGAAGCATTGCCTTAAAGGTGCCATTCCAACGCTCCACGATACCATTACTCTGGGGGTGATCAGGCATAGAAAACCGAATTTCCACGCCCAATCGGCTGAGGAGCTCCTTGGTGAGCTGAGACGTGAAATTCGTCCCTTGATCACAACAGATCAGTTCGGGCACCCCGTGTCGCGAGAACACATCAACCAGTGCCTGGCACGTGGACTTTGCTGTGAGCGAGCGGAGAGGAATTACCTCGGGCCATCGCGTGCAGAGATCTACGACGGCCAGAGCGTACCTATGCCCGCGAGCTGAGCATGGCTCCATGGGACCGATGCAGTCCATAAAGACAGTCTCGAAAGGTCGCTCAGGTCTCGTCAACGGAGTTATTGGGACTCGGTCCGTCGCCATTTCCCGCGCGAAAATCTGACACCCATGACAAGACTGACAATATCTCTTGACATCCGCCGCCATGGTTGGCCAAAAGAACGAATTTCTAATCCTCTGTTGTTTTTTTTTTTTTTTGTGAGAAGTGCCCTCCACATGGCATGTCGTGCGCCAATTGTAACACCTCTTCCCTACGGGGCTTCGGGAGCACCAGCTGTTTGCATTCTTTCCCGTCAATTTGTTCCGTGTGATACAACAAATTACCTTCAATCAACATGCCATGCGTGCCGCTTCGGGCCTGTTCCCACGAGCCCTGCAAAGAGCCGTCGTCTCGCTGTTCGCTTACGAACCCCGTTTCGGTCGCGCTCCGTTCTGTAACTGTCTCGACCAAGTCTACATCACACGTGCTCCCGGCCGAATCAATACCCTCTACCACTTCCTCGAACTCCAAAGGGGGATCGCCGGAGACCTGGTCCTGTTCCGCTCTGATTTCTGCCTCCAGCCTTTGCACCTGTTCTGCCTGCTCAGCAGACTCAGCGTTTGCTCGCGTAAGCTCCTCAAATGCGTCCGGCGTCAGCAGCGCGTCCACCCCCTGCGCGAGTCTTTCCGTTACCGCACACAGCACGGCGACATGTTGGCCAGTCCCGCCGTCTGCGGTGCACAGCCCCAACGGCACATACCTCAGCCCTGCCGTCACCGTCTGGCCGAATGCACCTCTGAGCATGATTTCTCCCCCTCCCCGCCTGTCGGACTCCTCGGGCACCACCTCCCGCCTCACGACAATTATGTCAGCGCCCGAGTCCAAACAGGCAGAGAAGGGTGTGCCCCCTGCCGTAAGCTGTACCCAGCTTATACCCGAACCTGTTTCCCCATGCCTGCGCGTCCCCGCCGTCTCAAGTGTCTCGCGTGACTGCGGCAAAAGCGCTGCCCTTGCACTCAGACCCGCGGAGGCCGATTTATTCCCGGAGTCCAGGGTTCTATGCTCTAATCCAGGACAGTTCTGCCTAAAATGCCCCAGCTTCCCACACGCGAAGCACCCCTGTGGTCAGGGTTTCTCAATCCTTCGCTGGTCGCCCCCAACTTTCGCAGGCCCACCCCGCAAGTTCACCTGTGGCTTCTCAGCCAGTCTCTGGGGCCTCCAGTTTCGATTGTGTCTACTCTCCTCAAATTTCTCCGCAAGTCCCGCCACTTCCTTTGGCCTTAGCCATTCTTTGGTTTCGTTCTGAAGGACATAGGCGCGTACATCATCCGGCATGGCATGCTTTAGGCGATCTGAGATGGTCAGCTGCCGTAGATCATCTAGTGTCTCTACCTTGCGGCTCTCCATGTAGTATCCATACATAGTATTAAGATTTGTAGAGAACTGTGCCCACGACTCGTTCTCTTGTTTGCGCGCGGCATTAAACCTCCGCTTGTACTCATCCGGAGTCATCTTGAGCTCGTCGAGGATAATGTCTCGTAGCTCCTTGTACTTCAATACCCGTCCCTCTGCTCTGTTTGCCACAACGGCGCTCGCTTTCTCATTTAGAAAAGGCAAAAGGATTGCCCCGTGTAGGTCCTGTGGCACCTCACAACTCGCCAACATTGTTTCAGCGCTTTTAAACCATGCAGGCACTAATGTGTCTGTCACGGGCATTGGCGCCAGCACCGCACGTAGCTCCTTTGCATACCGTCCGACTCCCCCCGCACCCCGAGTGCTCTCTTCATGAGGCTGCCCCGTTATTTTTAGCTGCTCTAATTTTATTTTCTCGAGATATATCTTTAGTTTCATGAGTGTAATCTCAGCACTAAGGTCATCCGAATCCGGTGACTGCCCTCCCCCACTGTTGCCAGCATCTGGTTCAGAGTTGGCCTCACTTAGGGAAGACCCTGGGGTCTTCGATCTAGTCTCTCTGGTCATGATGAGCCTCGGAGAAAACGGGAAAGGGACTCACCCACTGTTGTTTGGCAAAATCCAATTAGCTGCTGCTCCAGTCCCCGCCACCCACTTGCCGCAGTGTCCCCACTCGGCCTGGCGATCGTGCCCGTCGCCTGGAAGTCTCAGCTCCTTCTTCGTTCACCGAAAAAAAAGAAGAAAAAAAAATCACACAGAAAAAAAAACGCACAATTTTCTGGCACCACAACGAAGTTCAGCACTGCAGCGACGATCTCGTCTCTCCTCTTGAGGCTTGCCCCGATATTCTGTCGCCGCTCGCTGAAGATGCTTCGCCGGTCCGCAGGTGAAGCCACAGGTCCTCCTGTTCTCCGACGTAAATGACGCCCAGGACCGCCTGTCAGCTGCCACCACTCCTTTTGAGTAAGTGTACCCCGCCGGGCTTCTCGCGTAGATATTGCCACGGTCCTCACTCCGGCAGGAGCGAGCCTTGTCCGCAGTCCAGCAGACGGCTTCTTGGGGTAACTGTACCCCCCCGGGCTTCTCACGTAGATATTGCCACGGTCCTCACTCCGGCAGGAGCGACCCTTGTCAGCAGTCCAGCAGACGGGACCCTTGTCTGCAGTCCAGCAGACGCGACCCTTGTCCGCAATCCAGCAGACGAAACACTTGTCGCATAGAGCCCAGGTACGCTCCGCCTGCCTCCGTTGATACCGTCGTTTTCGCTCACCGCCCGTCGCAGGAAGTCAGCAGGATCCTGTCGACTGCGCCAGTCAACTTTCCGAGGGAGGGCCTGGACCTGGTGGTGTAGGGATGGGCGCGTCCTGGTCCGGATGGTGACGACCGATGACGGTGCTCGCCCGCGATGACACCCCCCGGGAAGTTGATAATAAAGAAAAAAACTAAAAGTTGTTCGATCCCGCTGAACACATTGCGACGTTGGTTGGCTTTACGGTGGCCAGTGTGGCCACGTTTATTATGAAACAAAACAACTCAACGGTGAGTAAAAAAATCCCAAAATTAAAACCCCATAGTCCCCAGTCTTAAGAGCCGAATTCCCCGAGAACCCTCTCGGCAGCCCTTTTCTAGCCTCGTAGATGCCTCCTTTCCCTCCAGAGATGGACCAATCACTTCAAATTTCACCACTCCCACGTGGTACACTGTCGTCCAATGGTCGGCGAGCTGTCATCCTGTCGCTGTAACCGCCAAACCTAAATTCCTTGTAGGGTTGTTCTCTGCAATTTTTCCAGTCTGACTGGCGCCAACCGCTAAGTTATTGCATCGGGCAAAAAGCGACAATTTTACACTAAGCGGCGAAACCCTCTATATACAGGCACATTCGGCTAAAAGGCACAACCAGCTGCAAGAAGGGATCTGTCCGAGCAGACTACCGAAACCCGAGACGTTTCTTAACGACCGCGGGGAAGCCGCTCCCCACTGCCGGCCGCTCTGCCCCCGCAAATGCTCCCTCCAAAACGCCGACCCTCACAAAGAAAGCTAAAAAAAAAAAAAAATAAAACGATGCCGACGCAACTGTAGAAAGATAGACTTTTCTAAAACAAATCTTACTTATTTCTAACAAAATCCTTCGTTACTTAACAACACCCTTTTTACACACTCGGATATTGAATCATCAAGTAAAAAGTGTGTAAAGGGTGTTTTTCCTAACTTGCACCCTTCTTACATCCGCTTTACGCGAGGATGCGTGTTACGACGTTTAGTCTATATTTAAACTCAATTTCGGGTGGGCTATCTCTCGGGATATCACGATAGATAGGCGCAACACTTCACGCGCGGATCATAACGTTTATGTGAACGATATTGATCTTCGCATTAGCAAAAGCGACTGAAGAAATCTCTTCACGTTGATGTTAAAGTTAGCTTTGAGTTTCCTGAATAGTAGTTAGCACGGCTTTGTGAGGATTTCCATTGTGTACAGTTAGTCAAGTTTTTTTTTTCTATTATTTTGTAACACTGAAAAGTCTAAAGCCCTTCAATGTGTTAAATATGTCTATCTACGTTAAATATGTATATGACGCTGTCGTTTCAATATACTTCTCGTAAAATCAATTTGTGAGGATGGCTAGCTGTGGTTTCAATGTTTTAAGTTGCCAATATTCCTAGAAACTAAAAACGCACTCTCTTCTGATACTTTTTGTTAATTTTCAGGAACGCTTTGTTGTGGGTGAAAAGCTTGGATTCACTTCGGTGACAAATTTTAAGGACGTACCGGAGGAAAGCTTTATTGATCTTCCAGTGGCCGATGTTGAAAGAGAAGTGATCGCTCTCTGCTTTACATCCGGCACAACGGGCCGTCCAAAGGCCGTGGAAGAAACGCACTACAGTTGTGTTGCTGGGCTCCAACTATACAGGTACGCAATATCGTCGATGCAGCAAAAATCAAACAAGCAAGGATCTACTTATTATTATTATTTTTTTTTACAATTTGAAGAAATGATGCGCAATTTAATTACGAACCATTATACTAAGAACTATTTCGTAGACGAAAATTCATGAATGCAACGTTTCCACTAAGAGCGATACAGTTAATGCGCACAGAAATCTGGGTTTGTCGCTTCGACTGCGTAGTGGATATCGGACAACTTTGCCGCGTGTGTGGCGAAGTTAGCAACGCACGCATCGTGCGTTGGCCGGTGGGAACAGGCTTCACACCCCACTTTGACGGCTTGTTTTTCTTTCTTTTTGTTTTCCGTACTTTTTTGGAATGTTTTAGCCCATTGTCGGCTTTCATCGTGTATTCTGGTTAGGAAGACTTTTGGACGTACCGCGTCGATAAACGCAGAGGTAAAGCGCTGCTTTGGGAAAGTCGCTCTTCCGTCGCCGACGCAAGAGGAGTGGCAAATTCCCTTTAAATTTGTAGGCACATGTTCATCTCATTAAATCATTATTTTTATCTCTACATTCAGGGCTGAGAACTACCTATCTTATTACCAATTTTCAATAAGTGTAGAAGGTTTTCGTTACCTCTAGAAGGTAGATCAGTTCCCGAAATAAACAAAAAGCAACTAGGCACACCGGATAACATGTGACTCAAGAATTCAAATAGGGAGCGATGAAAGGATAGGGCTATCCGAAAAAGCCACCTTCCACATGTTCTGAAAGCTGAGTGGCCGCTTGGCACCGAGGCTGAGAAGCGGCACTCCTGGTGCCGCTTTCGCCTTTTGATGACGGGAGCAGCGTTTAATCATCATTCGTAATTTATTGTGTTCCATTGAACAAGGTGACGAAACTTCAAGGTTAAAGTGCTCGACGTGTGCTATTCGTACAGCCCGTTCCCAGATACGCACGGAGGGTGTGGAACAGGGAACCAGGAGATCGTAATGCTTAAGATGGTGACAAATATTCAAACACGATAAAAAAATTAATTGTATTTAGATGGAGTAGCCGATTCTGCACCAGCCAGAGTAAAAAAGTGTCTAAACAAAAAACATCAAATGACGTGCGAAAAAAAAACAAAAAACGTGAACGTTGCGGCAGGCCCGTCCACTTTAAAGGGACACTGACAGGGTATTTATGCTCGCCAAGGATTTTATTTGTACATGACATATGAAATCTCAACTACCCAGAACAGAATTGGCGGCTCAAAATTCGTTTTATTTCTGCCCAGAAAACGCCGATCGAGAACTAGCCGGTTTGAGTCGCGCTCACTCTCTTCTCCGTGGGCATGTGCCGTTGTCTATGGTTTAGACACAACCACCAAAGATAATCAAAGTCGTGGGTCATCGGAGGCACACACTCAATATTAAAAATAGAAAACAAATATGACATCTATTTTTTCGTGGCTTCTTAAAGGGATTCTCTGGTAAAATTTTGTATCCGAAAAAACAATTGAATATCATTGTTATTGCCCCGAGACGCATCGTACGTGGAAGCTCTGAATTTTATTTGCCCCCCCCTGCATTAGTAATTGATTTTATACTGCTCCAATCGCATTCTAGCGTAAACGTTGCTTTCGTTGGCAACATTGAAGCTCTGACGTCACAAAACACAAAGCGAGCATTTTTGTCTCGTCCTTTTCCTGCGAGGTGAACGCTTCAGCGTGCTTCGTTTTTGTTGTTGTGCTCGACTTGTTTCTTGGTTGGGTGAGATTTTTGCTGCGCGGTTTGGTACCACAACCAAAGTGGATCGTCGTCGTGCGTAGGGACTGGGTTCCCGTCAAGATCGAGATCCCGCTTATGCAGCAATCATCTCACAGAAGAGAGCTACGAGCTGAGCTCTCAGCGGACAGACGGCTTGTAAGCTGAGGTGCGATGCTGTGCTAACGATATTAAACTACGTCCACCCACTCCTCGCCCAAATCGGATCAGTCCATTTAGGTCTGTTCGATTCGCCTGAACTGCCTGAACTAGTTCAGCAGTGCAGGAACTGATGCATTCGATTCAACCGGAAGTTGCACGACAGCTGCACTGGCGCGTTCGATTCATCCCAGTTCTGAACGAGTTCAGACCCAGTTCCTCAAAATCTTGCAGCAGCTCCGGACTCAGTTCAGCGTCCGTGCACAAGCAGACGATAAGAGCAGACGGCGATAATAGACGACACACCTCGTCCGTCTCTGCTCGCAGTGCCATTTTTCGCAGCTCTTGCCGATACGGAGGTTGCATTTCCTCTCATTTATGATAATAACGTACCCGCGGTGGACGCGGAATTGAGATCATAACAAAGGGTAGGAATTTACTTGATTATGATAATCTGAAAGCGTTTTAGGCACCTGCTCGCGTAGGTTTTGCTCCCTGTGGGTGAGTGTTGAAATATTGGCTCGCGTAAATTGTTCCTTTTTGATGCTATATGGGGATCCACAGTGTTGATATTCTTACTGCAGACACGGGAAAGGTATTGCCCTCTTGATAGTCACCGCCTTCGGTTGCTCTTGGATGCATATTAACCACTACGGTACATTAAAGAAGTCTGGGATTTAGTACGTTGGCACTCGCATGTCCCCGTAGCGGAACGTAATAGTGCATGCTTTGTCCGCTGGTATCTGTGGACGCCCACTAACCGGCCTGGGAAAAACGCCGAGAATCGCCATTTTTGCCGCTTCTCGCTTTAACTTGAAGGCAAAGTTACGGTCGATAACTATATTGGTCAAGACGCTATCGTCAGGCCTTCGTCTTCGAGGTGACCGGTATACCGACCGCGCGCTGCCGCCAGTGACTCCCGACGCAGAATGATCATGATGCCGCGAACTTCGTCGAAATGCAAAGATTCCCTTTGAGGGGCATTTGCCGCTACCTTCTTGACTTGGTTGTAACCGACTATAGTTCAGAACTTCCTGGCCGAATCGAACAGACCTTGATTATGCAGCGAAACCGAAACCAACAACTAGGCCCTCTCGAAATGATACAAGAGGTTGTATTTAGCACGCGTGTAGCCCGATATCTGTTTGACCCACGTGTGAAAATAGAGCGTGACTACGACTCACCAAGCTCGTCCAAATCAAGTGACGACATGCATTTGAACGGTTCGCCGTTTGCCTTCGACCCGCGGACGTCGCCTCTGAGGGAATGACTAGCAGCCTCATCACCGATCCTGTGGATCCGCCGAAATATCTACCCAGATGCCGCTTCGTGTACCTAGGTGCCGTTTCAGAGGCGAAATCTGCATCCTTTGCTTTGCAAGCGACCCTAGTTCGATCGGCGTCCGTCGCAGTTGTTTGCGCAAAATGGCATATGTTTGCTCGAAGCTTATGGCTGTCTGCGAGTAATATCCCGCTGAAAGGCGTGACTTTTTTTGCACGTACTTGGGAACTGCATTAAAAGAACCGTATTTCAGTAGGGTACTGCCTAGGAGACTATATAATTCGAAACAAAATACAAGACGTCCATCGACCAACGCTTCTTATCCTCACCATCCGTCAAACCTTTGCGTTTTGTGACGTCACGAAGCACCTACGGATGTCAGCCATTGACACTGGCGAAATTCGGGGTGCAGTTTCGTACATAGGCTCATGAAAGGTTTAAGTAATAACGGGAGATCATATATCAAAATAAAAATGACGTTTGTCTATATGAATGCTCCCTCAACGTAACGAGCGCAAGGACTTAAGTACTTCCGGTTTCGACCGTACAATCTCTTTAAAACTCCAAATACGTTGATTGAACAAAAAAAAATGCTATTGAGCCACCTGACTTTCGTTAACATTCTCCTCCTCTCTATTTCTTCTTCGTTCCCAGTCCACTTTCGGGAATCGGTTTCGATCATTTTTTTTTACTTTATTAAAAATATAAGTGACGCTGTAGCAAAAACGTGATTGGGTAGTCTTCCGACACCGTAAAAAATCGCCTAGCCATGTGTTTTTTTTTTTTAAAGGGGGGGGGGTGTTGTCAGTGTCCGTTTAAGTGAGGCCATCAACCAAGCAAACAGCACGGAGTTCCTCCTCCCGTCCCCGCTGTCGTATCCTCCTTTCTTATTTTCGGGAGGTTGGGTGCTGTTAACATCCACGGAAGCCTAAGGCGCGTTAAGCCCGCACTCCTTTACTCCTACTCCGACGTTCCCAGTTTCAAACTCCGAGCGCAGCAAATAAACGGAGCACAGCGTACAGGAGCGCGACACCGAAACTATCGACGAGCCGCATGAGCCACTTCCGACAGCACGGTTCTGATGAACTCGGCATCTCGTAAATACGAGTGGCAAAAGCCGAAATTATTTCCCAGATAAATTAATTAAGGCCTCTGTAAAACGGCGGAATGTAAATTTAAAAAAAAAAAACAAAAAAACGGCACGTTAGGAATTTTTTACGAATATTTCAAGTATCATGAAAAGTTGAAGACTCGCTTCGACTTTAAAGATAGCTTTCAGATTCCTGAACCCGCTTATCGATGCAAGAACTATAAACGTATGGCTCCACTGAAAACCTTGCTGAGCATCATCGAAAACCACGTAATAAACTTTTTTTAGGAAGATATAAGGCAGCGAGCGGGCATTTTACTGCGTTCAGCAAAAACCTTCAATTTGGATGCGTTTCTAGGTTACGGTTTCATATCGGAGCGCATCTCTGCGGCCGCGGTCCTGCTCCCCGGTGGCCGAGACGCGCAACACACGTGCGCGTCTCAGTGGCGGTGGCTTCGCGCCGCAGGAGCTCGGGCTCGAAGATGCGCTCCGATAAAAAACTGAAACCTGGAAACACATCCAAACCGAGCGCTTCTTCAGAACGCCGTAAAATGCTACACCTGTTGTTTAGAGCGCTGCTCAGCAAGTTTCTCGGTGGAACCACATGTTTACTTTCCTACCTAAAAAAAAAAAGGATGAATTTTAGTTAATTTCATTGCTAAACTGCATGATTTTCACAATTTAATTCTTGACGTCAGCCAAGAACAATAACTTGTTCCCGAAAGTTCTTATTCTTTATTTTAAATCTCGAAAAGCATATTTTTAAAGATTATTGCAGAAATACCCTGCATATATACCCCGGGAAACTTTCCTCTTTTGATTCCCCAAACGTATAACTAGCAAGGTTGCTCAATAGTGCACTATGTATGTCATGTTTATTTTTAACTGGAAGGTAGATTCAACTACATATCTTAGAATTCTTATTGCAAAGCAAGAACTCTGAATTTTGATTTCTCCTTTTTCATAAGTGGCGATTTGCTATACTGTTAGCACGTTGTATTTCCATGTTGGCGTTCGGAGCTGCACACCAGAGTGACCTATTGAATCGCTCCAATTTAATTCAGGCTCAACATGATGTTTGACGAGACAGAAACCGTTGGAGCGCTGTTCGCTGTCACACAGACGGTTGGATTCCGAATGATCATGAGGGTTGTCTGCTCCGGCGCCAGCTGCGTCATTATTCCCGGAGGAACAAGCTTTGACGAAATGGTGGACGTCGTGCGAAAGAACAAGGTAAAACAGTTCGTCTCTTTGGGAAAAAAAAAACTGAGTATTGTAGTATCTGTTATTATTGCTGCGGGCGAAATGGAACCGCACGCGACTGCCACGCGGAGAAACGAAGTTCAAACCCGCTTTGCCGCGTT